CGACCCACTACAACAATATAAACCCTTGGAGAACTCCACGGTTGTTGGGAAGGACCATGGATTTTCGCTTGCCGCACTGAACGAATTGAATGCGGGAAGTGAAATAGTCCCCAAGCCAAGAGACAGCCCAGCCGGGAGAGCCACACGCAGAAGTTTTATTAAGAAGAAGAGGGTTGGACTTCTAACTAACAGGTCACGGGTTAGAGCCTCTGGTGTCACAACATCTGCGGTTGGGCATGACTGACTCATAATGTCGACTAAGCCAGAAATAACCGTTACAGTCTCCCTTGTCGGTGTCGCTACTTTCTTTCTGTCTACAATATACCAGCTCCTGAGCGGCTACTGGGGGGTTCAAGATTGAGCTTCAAGACACAGTGGGAAGAGTGCGTTTCGTACCACGATCGGTTAGCGCCCCATTGCCATTATTACTGTTAGTACCTTAGGAAGCAGCGTCCATCTATTAGTGTTTTGGATCTGCAAGTGTTTCAATCTGGAGCTCTAACGTACAATCTCATAGCGACCTAAAGTTAATCGGTAGACGCCCCTTCCTACAATAGTGAATATTTCCGACCCCAACTGACAGGAGTAACGGGCCCGTGGCCAAATTGGTTTTGACTTAAATAATTACTGACCAAATATTTTTTTTGAATTAGAATCCCAGGTCCTACAAACGCGGGGTTGAAAAAAAAACAGCTGACAACGGTTACTAACCGGGAAATGTTCACCCCAGCCTCCTTTATATTGGTTGACAGAGAGACAAAAAATGGACTAACCAAGGCAATTATCAAAGCAGGATATGCATGCAGTCGAAATCTATCCCAGTGAAGCCTGTAGACTGTTACATATTCCATGTTTCCTAATCTGCGAACTTGTTGTAAGCGTTCGTAGCTTCAACAACCTACGCTTCCGTAGTTATGAAACCACTGGCAGGATTTACAAATAAGAGTTTTTCAATAGCAGGTCCAAACCAGTAGTCCGACCGACGTTTTATCGTTTTGGCGCTGCTAGTCGAAGCGATGGAGAGTAATCGGCCATTGAATGTTGTTCTTGCATTCTCAATACTCCTCCCGAGCCAACTACAGCCACGAAATCTGGTCTCATATGATTCGTAATCTGGAGTTGTGAGCCGTCATGTCAAAAGATTGCGGACAAATTCCAACCTAGCATGAAACTTCACCACCTCACGGTTGTCCTTCAAAGATGTCCAAGGCCTACAGATGAGGACATAACATTCGATGTGATAAATAAACTACTAACAAAAAGGACATGGTGAACACTATAGAACCAAGTAGTGAGCCGAATCACTCGAAGAACGACAGATAGTTGGTAAAATACGGGTCAAGGCTATTAGCTAGTAACGGGTATTTGCTCAGATAAATTATCTAACAGCCGTTAACACCGAAATCTGGATCTTCACGTATGTGTTTCTTGCTCAGACAGCCTGGTCGCCCTGACTGCATTAGGAAATATGTCTAAGGCAGTAATAATTGTGTTCTGGGAGCGCAACCTCCGGGGTTAATCACGGAATCTACGTTTACAAAGCACCCACCACAATATCCGTACGTTTATGTATCAGGCGTTTTGAACGCAAACAACCGTTAATCATTGAATATCATGGTGGGCGGTACGTGGCGGCAAATACCATGAGGAAAAAGGCAGAATTTAAGCGTACTCCGGGGCTTGGTAGTTTTGAGCATCTGATCGCCTCCCTCTCCACCCTTTGGTTTCTTTTTCAATTCTAGTTGCCTCCTCAGCTATTCCACTTTCTTCCTCTCCTCTCCCACCCCCCTCCTCTTCCACGTCTGTCACCTTCGAAGCGTACACCAGGGCAGGAGCGTCGTCACGTTTTCGTCAACCCCGGTGACCACGGGATCTTGCCAAGTGCATCCTGATCAACGATGACGTTAAACACTGTTTATTTCTGATGAAATGGATCCGACAAAGCAAAGGGAGACCGGAATGGCCATTTCTGGTTTGTTAGCCGTCATCAGCCAGTCATATCCAATCTCAAGGGTTGGAACCCCGGAGATTCGAACCCGGGACCGTTGGTCATTGAGTTTAACACTCTACCACGGCACCACGGGCTCGTTGCTTTGTCGGACTTTTATTGCGAAGTCAACATAGCTAACCTCCGATGATAGAAACTTGTTAGCTTCCTTATCATTAGGAGGCCAAACAATGGATCTTTAGTTCACCACTTTCACCATTTTCGCTCCTACTAATGCCACTTTCATCATTCCTATTTGCGCAGATATCCGAAATCTGCTCCAGCAACTGACGCCACCAAAGGAGCTACTTTCCGTTCAGGAATTGTCTCAAATTAATTCGGATCTGGAACGCATTTTTCTTGGAGATTTCAATCCTCAGCCGCCTGTCAGTGACCACTGCAACGGTCAGAACCAGCAGCATTCCCCAGCTTTAGCACTCTCTGTGCATCAACAGCTTCCAAGAATTCAGGATTCATTTGGACCGGCCGCGGCAACCTCGGACTCCAATGGTTGTAATGGGCAGCTGAACACCTTTTCGTGTAAGCGTTTACTTTCGATTTAACTTTTTTTGGCCGGTACATGACATTTGAGGGCTAGCCCCGAAATTATAATAAACAGTTAAGTCGAAGTCCCGGGTACCTAACGACAAGTCCTTCCCTCAATAATTTCCAAAATTATAAGTTTGATATTTCCCAGAGGTTAATATACTAAAAACGTCATAGAGGGCGCTGGGAGAGGGGGACCCACTGAAGGCGCCAAACCGTTCGCAGCTGCGGCAATACACCTGTCTGACCTTTTAGCTAGTGCGTATAACGGGAATAAGGTAAAAGCTTTGTCATCTTACGTGCATATTGATTGTTTATTGGATGGATGAACATAACATGGTTGTTCCGGAATGGTTGATCGTTCTTGACCCATATGTCCGTTGAAATTTCGGGTCTGGTCCGAAAAAGTCACGTCCCGCTCACTTAACTCCACATTATGCAGTTTGCAATCCTAGATGATTCGGTGATTACTTATGAAATCCTGCCTGGGAGTCAGCGTCCAATTGTGAAAAATTCGCAGCCTCTGTGGGAGTCGAACCCACACAGCAGGGCAGGCTGTTGCGCAGCCAACGCTGTACAATTTGGGCTACGAGACTCACCGTGTGCCGTGAATTTAATCACGCCTGGGTCGATTTGTTTGCCCAGCTTTACTGCAAGTATGGAATCCACCAATACGGACGCAGTAAGCTGACTGCCAGGCAAGATTTCCTAAGTAATCATCTAGGATCCACTGGATGAACTACTAGGCTAACCTTGGATGTTAGGGATTTGGCACCTTTCAATAATTCGATTGACCCAATTGTGAAAAAACGCTCGCCCTCGGTGGGAGTTGAACCCACACAGCAGGGAAGGCTTCTGCGCAGCTAACGCTTTACCATTTGAGCTACGAGGCTTACCATGCGCCATGTCTATCCTTTCTCAGAAAGTAAGGTGTAAATTTGGAGTACATTCTTCGAGCCCAACCTCATCAGATTCTGTCCTAAAACTTATTACAGAATTTGAACTGAACTGCATGCCCTTTGACCTAATAACCACATAATCTTCTCCTGTGGGTCATTAGTGTCGACTTTGGCGGTCGAGCCAAACAGAACCCTCAAATGTCACTTTTGCAGTAGAAACATTTCGGTTTTCAAAGCGTGAAAAGAAAGTAGGCTTATCGTTTAAGGACCACTCTCAAACAGAACTTTTGTTTTTCTAGTTTTTCTATGCAAAAATTACATGTTAAACAGTGGTCGTTCATTGTCATTGGAGACCAACCCAGCCGTTTTTAGTTTCCCTCCTTAGGGAGACTAACAGATAGTTCATATTTACTGTCAACCATTATCCTCCACTTGACTGTTCCGAGACCATCTTTAGTTTGCCAAGTTGCTGCCATGACAACCGTTTGTTGTTTACAGTTAATTCGGCCCTTTTACTCCATTTTTAATCCCTCGGCCTACAAGACAGCCAGAGAAAACGTTTCGTCATGCTTATAAGGACTCACTTTGTGAATTCATCTGCTGAGGTAGCCTATGATATAGAATAAACGTAGGAAGCATATTTAAATACGCTTTAATTCCGAATAAGGCGGAAGTCACGCCACCGCATTAAAATTTCCCAGTCAAGCCTTCCTACTCGGAAGACAAGAACAATATCGATTTTTTAGAAATAGTTTATTCCTTGTAAGTACCGAACACGCGGAGTGGCGTACTTTACAGTTGATTAGGTAAATTGGACTTAGATCCCTGTACAACCGTGGTAGTTAGCTCCCCACTTGGATCTGACGTATTCAGTACGTAAGCCAGCTTGGTGCGGATCTCATGGCCGTCCACATGGGCCTGGTGGTAATACTGGGACAGAACGCCCGGAGGCAGGATCGGGCTCAGTGACTGAAAAAGCTCCAAAGTCCGTCTACGCGGGCCACACACGAACTGTCCTAAAAAGAACCTCCGGTGTTCACGAAGTGGGGGTGCCTGCTCGGATTTCAAATGCACGATAACGCTACAGTTAGAAGGGACCGTTGCTACCTGCGTCTTCTTCCTGACAGAAGGGACGAATTATCCCGTCAGATAGCAGCCACAACTTTTAGCATATTGTGTTAGATTCAGGTGCAATAAATCCGCTTCACAGACTTAAGCACTAACTATTTCGACGTGACAAATGACGTGACAAATTTCCAGAAAGCGCGAAACGTTCCCTGCGGGTGTACGGCGTGCCATGGGCGGACATTCACCTTGTAAAATTTTTTTCCCGGAAGAAATTTGAACAAGGCGAAGATCGCGAGATTAGCAGAATTTATTGACATCATATTCAACTGCAAACGGTCGTTGCCTATTAATAAAATAAATAAACTGTCCAATTAAGTTTCGAACTAGAGGGCCGGAATGGATAGGTAAAGAGAATAGAAGCTATTAGTCTTAGACGTAGGCGCAGGGGGAGGAGTTAGAAGAGGGGGAGGTAGTTGTCACAGCATGGTAGTTCGGGATGAACTATGGACGATCAGGTAAGCGAAATTGCCCAAGGTCACTGTGCGCGGATAGGATACCTTGTGTGAGACGTTTTTGCGTATTAAATCGTTTTAGAATGCTTGTCATTCTTTTATTTCTTGCATTTAAAAATTCTGACGATTAATATTCTGCACAGTCTCCTTTTCTACATTA